TTGAAATAACAGTAGTATCTTGATGACTAAATTAAGTATTCAGATTTAATTTAATTTTTAAAATACTTTTAACTTATTACTATCATACAAATGGAAATGTTTGATAATAAATATTCTGTTATTTGAATTTGTAATAATTTAGAAATTATTATTCACAAAAATATATTTGTGTTGTTTTTTTCAGATTTGCTTTTACTATTGATTGAAATACAGAAAATTTATTTTTTATCAAATAAATATTGTAAAGAAATCTTTTAATTTCTCTGATTTCAAAAAATCCAGAAGAATTAATATTTTTTAAAAGATTTGAATAATTTATATTTTAACTAAATTAGGAAATAAAATTAGAAGTTTGGAAAAATTTGAAATAAGACTTAGGATATAAAAACGTTTTTATTCTTTAATTAGTTTATAAAGAATATGTAAGGAATTATACTTTTCAAAATTTTTAAAAATTGGTTTTAAATTTTAATTTTGGTTTCTTTGGAGATACATGAAAGTGTTTAAGATTTGCATTATGTTTTTATTATCTGGAATTCTATCATTTTACTATCCCAGCTCTGTTATATATATAACAGAGGGAAAGTATGGCAGTTGGTCAGAAATTTTCTTTCAAGATTTTTACATTTCTGCACTCAGTAGGACCTTGAAATGTCAAGAAATGTAAAAAAATTGGGTTTTTTTTCTGCATATATGGATATTAATGTGTTTATGGGGAGGCATGATTTTGTTCACCCTCTTTGAAGCTTACTAACATCCGTGCTTTTTGTCAAAAATTTCTGAAATTTTGCAGGGAGGTTTGTATGTTAGGAGCTTGATGCTATTAAATTTTGTTGGTTAAAGGTCGAGGAGATGGGGAGATACAGGGGGGTCGTGTGTCATATCTCGAACAGGGTTGGACTTAATTATGATTATACATGTTACTAGCATTTAAAATTTTTTTATAAAACTCATCTCTAACCTCAAAATTAAGATTTTTGCTATTTTAGAATAATTAAAAATATAAATTGCTTAATTTAATAAAATATCATAATAGATGGCACCACATGCGGTTTTCAATGTTGTTGCCAGGAAAGTTAAGCAACTTGTTGCTGGATTTTTTTAGTTTGTATGGTTTGCTATGTTATCATTAATTTAACTTTAATTCTACATTACAAGAAAAACATTCAAGTGTAGTAAATTATCTAATAATTCCGACAGGACTGATTTCAAAAATTTATCGAATAAATGAGCATTTATTTATTGTAACATTGTTACAATGCCAGGCTGTAACTTATAATCATTTTTTTAATTTATTTAATTTGAAATATATGCTCTCCACTCAAATTAGTAGTGTCTTGTCCCTGTACATCATACTTTTCCTGTTAGCAACAGAGTCCTGCCATCATCTATCTAACTTCTTACAGGAAAATTTTGAATTGAAATAATGAGACTTCCAGTTTGCATTTAAAGTTCATATACTGTTAATTGGAGCCTCCCACCTCTAATGTTATCTGGTCAGTTTCATCTATCTAACTCAATTTTTGAGATTAATTAAGGAAAGATGGATAGACAACAGTGGGAATTTATAGGTCTACATTTTTTCAAATTGCAGCCCAATGATTCAGTATTAAGAAAAATAAAACATTTGTAGTTATGTGAGATCCGAGAGGGCCCTAGGCCTCATTTAATAATTTTTATTAAATATGCTTAAATATTCACACAAAATAATACTTCGTTTTTGGTGAAAAATTGGTGTTTTAGTCGTGGGAAAAGATAGATAACAGATGCTACTTCCGTTGAAGGAAGTCCGTACATCCTCTGTTTTTCCCTATCCGTTAAAAATCTCGCTCAAATGGGAAATGGCTACCCCTCATTCGTCCCCCTTTTCGTCGGTTCTCACGAAGAGCTACTGGACGATGATTGGACAAAAATTTGGAAATAAAAGGAGAGATTTAGTCAGAATTCGGGGAGTTCTTCGACAGATCCGAAGCATACAAACTCCACATACGTTCCCTCCCGATGGCCAACGCCCGTAACGGAGTCCGATAGACGAAGTCCCGAGTCTACACTTAGAAGAAGTGATATTTTTATATTTTGTGCACGAATTGATTTCCCATACGAAAGCAATATGAACCCTATCTACAAGGTGTCCTCTACCTATACAGAAACGAAGACGACAACTAACAGGTCGTATGTTTAGAATAATTTTGTGAGCTCTCTCTCTCGAACGCGCATTAGCATAGATTCAGTCGTAACCTTTAGCTTGTCTTGTAATCGTTGTATTTGGTTATTTGTATTCGTTTGTTTGAGATTTATTAAATTATACTTATGTTTATTATACAAAAATGTCTCTTAATTGGGTGTCCGAATCAGATCGCATACGCGTGTTTGTCCGCGCATCGATAAATTGACAAACTGGTGTCCGGAACCTGACGAACTTCTGAACTTCGCAGTTCGGATCTGATTTTATACGCTCTCCTATGTAAACTTTTACGATCGGATCTTACGATTCGAAACTCGGAGAACTATTCTCACGGAATAGGCCGATTAAGTGGTACCAACGAATTAGTGTACCCCCGGCTGATCTCACAGTTAAACTTAGAAACTATTGGAAAGTTTGAAAGTTACAACAAAAATTAGAAACAATAAATATAAGAATAAAATTGTAATTATGTACAAAGTATATATGCATAAACTATAATCAATCTATCCGTCTGTATCTCTCTATAGTCTATTTATATTTTAAGAACATTGACTTTAATGTGAATAATATATTGATATAAAGAAAAATAAATTTATTTGATATTGAATTTATAGTTTTAGAGATATTTCTAGATTATGATGTTTTGTTTACAAATTATTCTTTATTTTATGTTGTTCAAAATATTATATTGAAAACATAAATAATTTATATCATACAGCTCCATGTTAGTAAATGTAAGCCCCAATTAGAATAATTAAGAAACAAATACTGCTAAGAATTTCTTAGTAGTGTTTGTTTCTTAATTAATACTGTACAAAATGTTAACTTTAAAGTTTAAGTTTTACAAGAGAGGACAACAAAATGAACTCTTTAGAATGAAAGTTTCCTTCTTTCACAGAAGTTATAAACTTAGTATAAAGCAATATTTGGCTCAGTCAGTTAACTAGCTTAAGGCCAGTCCTGCATCAGATAACTTATTAATATAAAATCTATACTTAGCAAATTAATATTAATATACATTTTATTTTCTAAAATTGATAAAACTAATTGCCAATAATTTTTTGAACAGGTATTATTTCCACAGAGGGATTAATTCCAAAGAAAGATGGCTTGTTTGATGATTTCCTTTCAGTTGGACCAATGTGTCGCTATGCCAATGATTTATTACCAATGTTGAAAGTTTTGTCTGGAGAAAATAGCACAAAACTTACATTAGAAGAAAAGGTTTGTAAAATTTTATAAATGCTATACATGATAAGAATGTAATATAAAATATTAAATAATTTAAATTGTATAAAATTTAATACAACCTGGAACCTGAGTTAACCAGGTTCCTCTGGAAACAGAGGAACCTGGTTAACTCAAACCAAGATAATTTGAACTCATATTTATTCAAAGTCATTTTCTTTCCCTGATTGTCCAGCATAGGGATTTACATGCCAAATCAAACTGGTTTACTCAAATTTATTGAACTGTTTAACTCAATTGGGGTTTTGATACATTATTTTCCTAAATACTGAATATTAAGGGTTCTTTAACAAGATAAAATATTTCAAACTCAATTATTTAATCTATTTTCTAATTATCTAACTAATTAATTAATTAGCTAATTATCTAATAAGTTGGAACATGGACAAACAAAGATAAACAATAGTTCTGGTTTTATTCATATTAACTTAGAAATGTTTTAAAAAGAGACAGGATAAAGTTTATATTTAAACTATTCTGTCATTTTTCAAAAATATTTTTAAGTTAATATGACATAGTCTGATGTAGGAGAAATCAGTCATGTCAAAAATTTGTTTTGATCTAATGCTGGTCCTCACCTGAATGGTCAATAGTTGTGGAAGTAGAAACCTATTTTTTCTTTTTATTTATACTAAAATTAAAAATGATTCAAAATACATAATAAAAAGTATAAAGAATNATCAGATCTCATACGCGTGTTAATCCGCGTATAATAAGATTGATTAACTGGTGTCGGGACCCTGACAATTTGGGATAAAGACCTCACAGTCTTGAATCCCCTTTTCTTAAAATTACCGCCCTCCTATAAAACGTTACGAGAGCCGATCTCACGATCGCGCGCCGTAAGTGTCGTAGACTAAGATCTACGTCCTGGCTGATCTCACACTTTCCATGCTAGAGAAACACAGAAGTGTAATTCAATTTTTTTAAGCTTCTGGCAAGTATACAAGAAAATTTATTGAAAAATGAATGCTTTGTAAGGGGACAATTGTCTGTTGCAGCAAGGTGTGAGGTGATGTGAGAAGTTCGGAAACATAATCATGAACATCTGGGATGACCAGATCAAACTTTTTTTTAATCTGCCTTACAGTCTGAATTTGGCATCTTGTGATTAATATATTCTGACCTCCTCAAGAAGGAATTAGCAAGTCATTACTTTAAAAATGACAATAATGTGAAGACAGCAGTTTAACTGTGGCTGCTTAAGCAACAAGACAAGTTTATAATTTTTAATTGTTGGGTTAATAAAATGTAATATTTTGCAATAATTTATTTTTAGGAAATAATATGGCAGCATTAAGCAGATTGTTCAGCTATATTTTCCAGAATTTATAGATGAAAAATAATTGATTAATCTAATAAAATCAACTAAATGGAAGTTAGTTAAAAGGTTTTCACTCTTCATAATTCAACAAAAATAAAATAGTGTATATGTTTGTTTATAATTATGTATTTATGGTATTTTATAGAGTGTAATAAACCAATTATAAAGATGATAATTGTAATTTTTATATAAGAGACACTATTTCATAAATTTACCTTTTATATACTATGTCTATTCTTACAGATATGTTAAATACTGCTGGTTTATACTCAAGTAAAGGAACAAGAGCTTCAGAAGATGCCAAAGTAGTAGCATTAATGAAAAATGCAGGAGGCATTCCATTAGCTGTTACTAATCTTCCAGAATTATGTATGTGGTGGGAAACTAATAATAAAATATATGGACGAACTTTGAATCCTTATGATACTAGAAGAATCGTTGGGGGTAGTAGTGGTAAGTTTTTATTATTCATTTTCATATTAAAAAATGATTTTTAATGATAAAACAAATTTTTAACAAAGGAGGTGAAGCTGCTGTCTTAGCTGGTGGAGGTTCATTAATTGGAATTGGATCAGATATAGGTGGTAGTATTAGACTTCCAGCATTCTTTACTGGTGTATTTGGTCATAAAACAAGCAAGCGTAAGTAAGAGCATTTTTACATTAAAAATCCATTCAAAATTTTTTTGAAAACAGATACTTTTTGATTATTAAAACATACCTTAACATTTGTTTGTATTTATTACACTTGATTATAAAAAAAATAGTGTTGGACTGAATATTCTGCATTATTCGATATTCAGGATTATTTGGCTGCAAAGTAAATATCTGGTTTTTGGTCAAATACTAAATATCTATATTTGATATTTGGACCAAATATGTTTTCAAAAACAAACTATTTGATCAACTAATCTTATTTTAATTGAGAGAGAGAAAGAGAGAGAGAAGGATGGAAAGAAATATGGAACAAAAAAGAAAGAAAAGAAAATTTTAAAATATTGTTTTTTCATACATTCATTAAAACTGTACTTGTTGGAGTTGCTAAAAAAATGACACATCTCACTGGTAAGATAAGAGAATGTTTCCTTTCCTTATTTTGCCGCCGTTAAGTCAACTGAATTTCAGTGTGTTGAATGATCAGATATGAAATGTACTTTTCTACTTTCTTTTTAATGACATGAATTAAGCTCACTTCATTAGACAGTGAATACTCACTTTGACTACATGTGTTGTCTTATGAGATTTGGGGCTAAATACATCTGGTAATTTTTGGATTGAATAGAATCCACATATGAGGAATTGTTTTCCATATTTCCAAACACAGATTAATGATTATACTGATTGAAATTCTGATATGATTTAATATGTTTACATGCCCAACGAAATAATAAGGCTGATTATCATTAGCTATCATTTCCGTGATTTTGTAAAATATAATGCTTGATCTCTCATCGTTGATATCTCCTAATTTTTCTTTTAAAGTAGCTCAATCACTGATGGCTGTCTTATCAGATTTTCTGTCTTTGAGGACAAGTAAAGATGTAGCTTTTTTTCTTTTACTTTTTTTTTCTTTGTAAGTAGTATAGTTCATCACATGCCATAATATGAAATGACTTACAAGTGCAGACATATTAAAGGTTTTTGACATTTTTCTTCTTGTAGTAAGACTTTTCTTTCAATGCATAATTTATACTCAGTTTTAATCTTGTATTTAATATAAATTTCATAGTACTTCTGTACTGCTTTTGATTATGACATTTTGTCAGCTCTTTTATGCTGTTACCTTCAACCTTCGTGAATAGGTACTGCTATAATATACACTACACTCTCTTCAACCTTAAATGACCAGTAAAATATTTAAAAATACTGCAGATGTTTTTGACCATTATTTCTGGTCTTCTTCAGGCAGAAAGTTCCGAGATTCGAATATCAGTTGTGCTTGTAAAATTTAAATTATTCTTAGAACGTATGAACCGATGTGAATAGAAACTCATACTGTACGTGCGTACTAAGCATAGCTTATACAAATGAAATAATATATTTTTTAACACACACATAAAAAAAACATGGAGATCCGGATTAAATAGAGTCTTCCCATTCATAGTAGAGCTTCCAAGCGTTGGAAATATTAATAGCATCCTTGGAGTTGATGCAGTTATTGTGTAGCCCAGCTTTGTATATTTCGAGAGTTTCCAGTGAACGTACATGTTCTCTTTGGTTTGATACATTAATTATTTGGGCGTTATGCAGGTTTGCTCTTATGCACGGGGTTGAAGCATAAGTACACAAGGCAGTGATGCCCCTGTTATGTTCGATGTCATATCTATGTTCCCGTAGATGCTTATCTAGAGAACATATCGTAGAGCCAATATATACAAGGTCCCTTTGAAACCTATGGTTCCTTAATGGAACCGAGTATACCCCTGGAGCCAGTCTTATGTTTATGCGATCTTTGCAGTTGTGGAGGAAGTCATAAACAGTACTCCGTCTCTTATATGTAATTTTTTTGTTTGTAATTGCCACAATTTCTCTATAAATAGAGTCCAGGTGGTGGTTATATTGAACTACAGCCCAGGATTGTGGATTGTTCAAGATGCTAGTGCTTGAGTTATTGTTGTTAATATTATATAATTGCGACAAATAGGCACATGCCAGTTTCTGTATTAATCCCCACTCATATCCATGTCAAGAGGCTACATACTGAATGCGTTGTAATTCTACCAATGTATCATCAAATTTTGTATTGTGTGTGAACGCTCTTTTGGTTAGGGTCTGAACATTAGGGTCTAACATATAAGCCATAGGGTCATCAGAATTGGTAGGGATGAATAGAGGAGTATAGCACGGCTTATAATAGACCTTAGTTGATATCTTGTCCCCTTCCAATTATACACTGATATCCAGGAAGGTTGCATTCAAATTACATATTTGGTCTAACTTGACGCTGAGGCCATATGGGTTATTATTCATTGCATCTATGAAACTATAGATATTGGGCTTAGCCTTCCACATAATGAAGATGTCATCCACCGGCAATAATGGTCGAAAACGTTTGTAGTATTTTAAAATATTTTACTGGTCATTTAAGGTTGAAGAGAGTGTGGTGTCTTTTATGCTGTTATTAAGTCTGTATTAAATCTAGTATTAGATAATAAAAAAAAAAGTCAGTTGTTGGGAATTATAATTTTATTCAAAAATTAAAATTTTAAATTGAATTTGATCATATATGAAGCATGCAATTCCATAGCATTATAGATACCATTTTTCTCAACAAGTTAGAGTTTTTCAATGAGAGGATTGTTGAGTTTATTTCCAAATGTCAAAAATGCTTGGATGTCAACAGGGATTATGTTGAAAAATAGTTCAAGATATATTTTCATTGTAAAAACAAGGATTTTGAGTTACAATAAATTGTTATCATCTTATGACAAAATAATTCTTACTTGAAAAATGACCCTCATATATTACTTAAACATTGAAATAACAGTAGTATCTTGATGACTAAATTAAGTATTCAGATTTAATTTAATTTTTAAAATACTTTTAACTTATTACTATCATACAAATGGAAATGTTTGATAATAAATATTCTGTTATTTGAATTTGTAATAATTTAGAAATTATTATTCACAAAAATATATTTGTGTTGTTTTTTTCAGATTTGCTTTTACTATTGATTGAAATACAGAAAATTTATTTTTTATCAAATAAATATTGTAAAGAAATCTTTTAATTTCTCTGATTTCAAAAAATCCAGAAGAATTAATATTTTTTAAAAGATTTGAATAATTTATATTTTAACTAAATTAGGAAATAAAATTAGAAGTTTGGAAAAATTTGAAATAAGACTTAGGATATAAAAACGTTTTTATTCTTTAATTAGTTTATAAAGAATATGTAAGGAATTATACTTTTCAAAATTTTTAAAAATTGGTTTTAAATTTTAATTTTGGTTTCTTTGGAGATACATGAAAGTGTTTAAGATTTGCATTATGTTTTTATCATCTGGAATTCTATCATTTTACTATCCCAGCTCTGTTATATATATAACAGAGGGAAAGTATGGCAGTTGGTCAGAAATTTTCTTTCAAGATTTTTACATTTCTGCACTCAGTAGGACCTTGAAATGTCAAGAAATGTAAAAAATTTGGGTTTTTTTTCTGCATATATGGATATTAATGTGTTTATGGGGAGGCATGATTTTGTTCACCCTCTTTGAAGCTTAATAACATCCGTGCTTTTTGTCAAAAATTTCTGAAATTTTGCAGGGAGGTTTGTATGTTAGGAGCTTGATGCTATTAAATTTTGTTGGTTAAAGGTCGAGGAGATGGGGAGATACAGGGGGGTCGTGTGTCATATCTCGAACAGGGTTGGACTTAATTATGATTATACATGTTACTAGCATTTAAAATTTTTTTATAAAACTCATCTCTAACCTCAAAATTAAGATTTTTGCTATTTTAGAATAATTAAAAATATAAATTGCTTAATTTAATAAAATATCATAATAGATGGCACCACATGCGGTTTTCAATGTTGTTGCCAGGAAAGTTAAGCAACTTGTTGCTGGATTTTTTTAGTTTGTATGGTTTGCTATGTTATCATTAATTTAACTTTAATTCTACATTACAAGAAAAACATTCAAGTGTAGTAAATTATCTAATAATTCCGACAGGACTGATTTCAAAAATTTATCGAATAAATGAGCATTTATTTATTGTAACATTGTTACAATGCCAGGCTGTAACTTATAATCATTTTTTTAATTTATTTAATTTGAAATATATGCTCTCCACTCAAATTAGTAGTGTCTTGTCCCTGTACATCATACTTTTCCTGTTAGCAACAGAGTCCTGCCATCATCTATCTAACTTCTTACAGGAAAATTTTGAATTGAAATAATGAGACTTCCAGTTTGCATTTAAAGTTCATATACTGTTAATTGGAGCCTCCCACCTCTAATGTTATCTGGTCAGTTTCATCTATCTAACTCAATTTTTGAGATTAATTAAGGAAAGATGGATAGACAACAGTGGGAATTTATAGGTCTACATTTTTTCAAATTGCAGCCCAATGATTCAGTATTAAGAAAAATAAAACATTTGTAGTTATGTGAGATCCGAAAGGCCCCTAGGCCTCATTTAATAATTTTTATTAAATATGCTTAAATATTCACACAAAATAATACTTCGTTTTTGGTGAAAAATTGGTGTTTTAGTCGTGGGAAAAGATAGATAACAGATGCTACTTCCGTTGAAGGAAGTCCGTACATCCTCTGTTTTTCCCTATCCGTTAAAAATCTCGCTCAAATGGGAAATGGCTACCCCTCATTCGTCCCCCTTTTCGTCGGTTCTCACGAAGAGCTACTGGACGATGATTGGACAAAAATTTGGAAATAAAAGGAGAGATTTAGTCAGAATTCGGGGAGTTCTTCGACAGATCCGAAGCATACAAACTCCACATACGTTCCCTCCCGATGGCCAACGCCCGTAACGGAGTCCGATAGACGAAGTCCCGAGTCTACACTTAGAAGAAGTGATATTTTTATATTTTGTGCACGAATTGATTTCCCATACGAAAGCAATATGAACCCTATCTACAAGGTGTCCTCTACCTATACAGAAACGAAGACGACAACTAACAGGTCGTATGTTTAGAATAATTTTGTGAGCTCTCTCTCTCGAACGCGCATTAGCATAGATTCAGTCGNTAATCGAATATTTATGTGTTTAACTCAATATTACATCGTTAAATCTCGTTATTTTTATATATTAAACGGTAGCTTTTACTTATTACTAAATAATACCTTTGTGAAAGGATCTAACTCCATAATTTCTGATCGAATAGCAAGATTATCTTTAAAACGGTCGATGCTTCTTAACGTCTGAAATTTAAACTTCCCCCGCTAAACACTGACGCGTGCGCAATCGGATAAGCTTTCCTAGAACTCTCAAAGCTTCCGGTCACATGACGTCCTCTAGTGGTCAATGACGTCTTAAAATAAAATACGGTATTTGTTTTTTAAAATGTGTACAGTATTTAATTTAAACATTGTAAATTTTATTTTTAAAAAATTTTTAAATTAACGGTAAATTTAATAATTTTTTTACTAAGATGTAATTAAAAAAATATTTTTTTTCTTTTTTTTACGTTTAATCTTGAAATCTGTTTTCAGTTAAAAATCATTTAAACTCGTTATATTTAGACAATTATTAAACATTCATAACGTAAACTTTATCGTTCAAAAATTAAATCGTTCTTAAAATCAGATATCGTTATCTTATAAACTGTTTAAATCATTACATTTCATCACAAATAATAATAAAACAAACAGTTATCACTTAAACAATCGTGTTTATTATAGTTGATTAGTAAATTGATGTCGATTTATTATTTTTCGTTTGTTTTCGACAAACGAAATTTGCCATCAAAAGCGGAGCAGCCGGAATCACTTTCTCTCTATGTGAAGGATCCGGGTTCGTGTTTGTGTCGGACCTGCAGAACTTTTTATGTCTAGTTCAGCAGCATCGGGCTCATCCTCGTTACCCGACGCATTGTTGTAGGTCAGACGCGCCCGTACATTGGGACATTTGGTGAATGTGTGCCCCCTCTTTGTCACTGAGTTGTCCTTTTCTTAATCCCCAAGGGAGATCTAAGGTTTCAATTTATTTTTAAATTAGTTACTCATTTGTATTACAAAAAAGATTTTTTACTGGCGACAAAATGTACTGGCTTGTTTGATGATTTCCTTTCAGTTGGACCAATGTGTCGCTATGCCAATGATTTATTACCAATGTTGAAAGTTTTGTCTGGAGAAAATAGCACAAAACTTACATTAGAAGAAAAGGTTTGTAAAATTTTATAAATGCTATACATGATAAGAATGTAATATAAAATATTAAATAATTTAAATTGTATAAAATTTAATACAACCTGGAACCTGAGTTAACCAGGTTCCTCTGGAAACAGAGGAACCTGGTTAACTCAAACCAAGATAATTTGAACTCATATTTATTCAAAGTCATTTTCTTTCCCTGATTGTCCAGCATAGGGATTTACATGCCAAATCAAACTGGTTTACTCAAATTTATTGAACTGTTTAACTCAATTGGGGTTTTGATACATTATTTTCCTAAATACTGAATATTAAGGGTTCTTTAACAAGATAAAATATTTCAAACTCAATTATTTAATCTATTTTCTAATTATCTAACTAATTAATTAATTAGCTAATTATCTAATAAGTTGGAACATGGACAAACAAAGATAAACAATAGTTCTGGTTTTATTCATATTAACTTAGAAATGTTTTAAAAAGAGACAGGATAAAGTTTATATTTAAACTATTCTGTCATTTTTCAAAAATATTTTTAAGTTAATATGACATAGTCTGATGTAGGAGAAATCAGTCATGTCAAAAATTTGTTTTGATCTAATGCTGGTCCTCACCTGAATGGTCAATAGTTGTGGAAGTAGAAACCTATTTTTTCTTTTTATTTATACTAAAATTAAAAATGATTCAAAATACATAATAAAAAGTATAAAGAATATTTTATTCATTATATAATTAAATAATAAATAAAAGTAAGATTTTAACACTAGAAATGCCAAAAAATTATTTTACTTAAAGGTCCCATTGCCAGTCAGTATGACCAGTATAGAAATGGCCAATTTATTTTAAAAAGTGTCAGTTGTACATTGCAAATTAATTTCATTTTAAGTAAGTGGCATAGCATAATTGATTGAACAATACAAACTTTTGTTTTATATGACAAAGAAGAATTATTTAGATTATAGTTGTAACCATGCATTTTTCCATTTAAAACTATACATTATACAAAATACAGTAAATATGTTTGGTTATGCACTGTCCACAAATGGAGTTTTTGTATTTTGTAATTTTTTGATGTCTTATTTATGCACTTACATTTAGTGCACTTTTGAACTTGACATTTGTGCCAGTTAACTCCAGGAGCCAGGTACCAGTTAAAATGTTCTTACTGCTAGAACACTTTCATTGCTAATATATCACTGAAGGTTTTCTGCCAGCTCTAAAATAAAGTTGCCATGATAATTCAATAAGCAGTTATTTCCTTGAAAACGATCATTACTAATTGATGATTGCTAAATAAAGAAAATTATAAGAAAACATGGGCAGGTACAGTTGCCAGGGCCGCCGTAAGCGGGCGTGCAAGGCGTGCACCGCACGCGGGCGGCACGTCCAGGGGGCGGCAAAGAGCCTTTCTGGCAAGCTCAGCATAGGTAATCGTAGTTAAACAGGGGGCGGCATAATCGGTATTGCACACGGGCGTTCAAACAGCTAGCGGCGCCCCTGACAGTTGCAATGCATCTTTTACTGTATACTTCCTTGACATTTGGTTAACAATGTTGACAATGTTTCATGCTAGTATAAAACAAGATTGTCTCTGGCATTTACTTTATAGTACTGTCTTCAATTGTAATATTGATGGCATGTAATATTGAAAAGACAATTGTAATTTTATTCTTTTTTCATGATAGACTGTCATATTTGCAATGAATCTGCATTTCTGAGAAGTGTTATGTTGTAAAATTGAGCTTGTTTAGGGTCTCATCTGAATGGCACTTTCTTTTCAGCATTATTTACAATGCCAACTAAGCTCATCTTCTTCTTTATATAAGCTAATTTTACAGTTGTAAAAAGTTATCCACTATTGCATTTTTTCCTGCTTTCATTTGGTTTCATTAGACACACAACATATTCTCTGAGTGACTGATCAGAAGCCTGTCTTGCTTCTTTCTGAGATAAGGAAAACCATTTGGAGTCCACCTCAATAGCCATTCAAAACTGTAGACCAGACTTATCAGGCTTATTAGCCAAAAATTGGATGAAGCAACATTTTGCTTTTGAAGGAAGTTGTTCATCTATTGTGATGGGCCAAGGATATAGCAGTTCTGAAAATTTTTCATGAATGTATTCAAAATTTCGAAGGCCATGGCAAACTTGTCCATCTGCAGACAATGGGATTGTGTTTGCCAGATATTGAAAGATATTTTATTATTTCCCAGAACCACTTTCTACTTATAATTTCATGAAAGAATGGACCTCCCCACTTGCCTGACTAAAGGCTATCATAGTCCAACTTGTTTCCATCTTGCTCTGTAGCTATAGAAAAAATATATTCTGAATACTAGTCATTATATCCATAACTGGCACCTTTAGGTAAACATGTGTAATACTTGTTAATTATTAAAAATTTGTTTGTAATATTGTCGCGGGAACAAACGGCAATCAATCGTTAGAAACACAAAGGGATTTATTAACTCAATGTACAACTCCTGCAGCTTGCAGTAGGAGAACAAGAAGCCCTCTCAGCCTGAGAGCTGGCTGTTATATCTTAAAGAGACATGGTAGAAACATGGTAATTGGTTGGTATTTACATAAGTTCTCAGACCGGGAGAACATACCCACACAAAAAAAAAACTTGCATCAATGAGGGTTGAACCGGCAACTTCTGCTCGATAGGCCAAGCCGCTAACCTCTACCCCATGAATGACCCGGTGGGAAGAGCAAGCCGCGGCAATATTAGTCCATATCAAGGCAAGTGTTGATATGGATTAATATTAGTTTAACAGAAAAAAATTTGATAAGATGCCCCACTATAAATTTAAAATTATGTAGTCAATAATGTATTTAACTTAAATAAATAAAACATTTAAAATCATTAATTTTCAAATAATTAAAATCAAGCTATCTTATACATTTTAGGTAAATATTAGCAAGTTAAAGATTTACTATATGGAAAATGATGGTGGAAATCCATTGAGCTCACCAGTTAATTCAGAATTAGTAAATGCCCAAAAACAGGTAAGTTCCAAATTTGTATTTTGTACCTTGCTACATACAATATTCAATAATCAGGATCATAATATGTACTATATCATTTTATTCTCATATATTCACCTCATCCAGTAAATAGACTTTTTTAATTTTAAAACTATCTTAGAAACTGACAACCTGTATGTGTAATGCTTTTAATTAAAATCTATAGAAAACTAGTATTTTATGTCACATTAAGGGTGAAGTACATAAATACATTTTTGAGTAAAAGTAAAGTTTAAAATATTTTATACTGAGTTGTGAGATATAATCTATGATTCACATCTTATATGTTGACAATTGTATAATAATGTTAAAATAATAAATAAACTAAATATAAGTAAATTCTTAAACCATATTAAAATATGGTTATTTTGTAATTTGCATTATTCTTTTACTGACGATTTTATATATTGCTTAGATTTCACATTGTAATTATTTAAGAAATTACATTTCATTAAACAATTATTCTTTAAATATTCATTCTTTCTCAGAAGTCAGTTCTATATTTAACATTATTTTTATAATTCAGAAGTTAGAAAATCTTTCTAAAGATTCAAAGAAGATTAATATAGCCATAAATTAAAAATGTGTGGATTTATCTCAAACTATATTCAATTCTATCATAAATACACACACAAAAAAAAAAGAAATTTATTCAATCCTGTTTATTAAATTTAATAAACAGGACTGAATATGACTGTTTATTGTTTATTTTCTTATAATCAAAAACAAATTAGAGTTCTGTGTGTAGCGTCTTTGCAATCCAAACAATAATTTTGGTAGATGATCAAACAGCAATTAGTTAGAAAAACGTTACAGTTTATTTAAAACACTTTCTTAAATTCAGATGCATTTCGGGTTGGCTTGTATTCCCAACCCCTCTTCAGTGCTGTTAAAATTACAAAAAACAAAGTGAGTTTCATGACATTGGTAAGTAGGATGTAACGAAAACGTGGGGTGACAATAACATAAAAAACTTACATGTTACATAATGGTACAGGATAGACTTTCATGACCATAGTTTTATTACATAGTTGTATGACTATTTTCTATAATATGTAAAAAGTAAAGGGCGTGGCTGTTTAACATAACATTTAAATGAAAAATATATAACATAGATTATTAATTTCAAAATATCTATAAAAACTTACGTTTTTAGTTAAAATGTATTATTCCCAATGAAGATGAAACAGAGTAAAAATTGACAACTGGTGTTATCTGGTGTTCATGGAGTAAGAGTATACTGACAAGTAATGTTATTTAAACCATTCCTGACATTCTGTACAAGGGGGTGTGCTTTTAAACAATCTTTAATGCGTGGTGGCGCACTCTATTAGTTTATACCATTGGGGGTCTATTGACATGCCTTCTGAGATATTAATTAAGTTATCTTTGGGGTGTTTTTTGATTTCTATGTGTTCTTTAAATTTCCTTTTATATGGATCTTTTTCTAAATGTAACACTTTTATATTGTTTTTATTAATTTGGAAATTATTGTTACTTGTGTGGAAGGTGTTATGGGGAGGTGTTATGTTTTAGGTGGATGGCAGCTTCATGTTCTTTAATTCTTGTTTCTAGTGGCCGGCCTGTTTTGCCAATGTAAGTTTTTGGATTTTGGCAGTTGCATTCAGGTTTGTTGTAGACATTTGCGGGCACCGAAATACACCAGGTCTTAAAGTAGGGTAAGAGAAAGCAAATGAGGACCTCACACACAACACACCTCAATATAAAAACACTCGATTTTATATCAGATTATGCTCGCGTACACGTGGTTGTAGCTCCGTTGTTCACAAGTACAGATAATAAAAAATTTACAATCTATTACTCAGTTGCTAACAATCGATGTTCCTTCATCTACACTTCGAATTCACGTCTCTCGTATCTTCAATGCTCGATGGGATTTGATTTCTTTCTTTTTCCAATACAATTAATCTCGACAGTCTATTGTTAGTACGTGGTGACCCCTTACCTTCCTTCCTCGTCCTTTGTCTTCTTCCACTTTCTCTCGTGGAGGACAGTTCACGAAGGTTTCTAGGAAAAAAAAAGGTAAAAAATTTGTGGGATCACTCCTTTTATATCCTTCTAAGTTTGATTCTTCCATCCCCTTATGATGCGGCCACCTCAACAACCAATCAGAAGCCCACTGACCACCGCCAAAAGGTGGCGAGTGACAGGAAGGGAAACTGACGACGACGCGTTACAAAAATGGTAAAACCCGACAAATAATAACGTACATCAACAATAAAAAAAAAAAATACAATATAAAATGAATGCCTAACACTACATTGTAAACAGTTCCTACAGTTTTAAGAATGTTTGGTTTTAAGAATGTTGAATTAGAGTATTTAAAAAAATTTTTATATTAATCTAAAAGCATCAATTTTTAAAATGAAACTTAAGCTTTATTTCACTGTTGTTCATCACATTTACAAATTCAACAGAAATATATGCAAATATAAACATAAAATTCTCTCAAGAGAATGTTATATGTCATCTAATATCTGTTTTTCAAATTCTGTTATGTAAACACCTATAAATTGACACATTTTGAATTTTGATAACAATTTCAAAAATTTGTCCAGATTCTATTTTGTTTTGTCAGTTTTTACTGTAAGTTTTGTATAAAAAGAATTAAAAACATGAATCAGTTAAATATTAAAATGAAAAACCTATTGATATTTATAAATCCAGTGGTGTAGCGTAGTGGGGGCGGCAGGAGCGGCACTTTTAGGGGGCAGCAAATTTTCACAATAAATAATAATAATATCTTGTAAAAATTTGAACCATTTTATTTCATATTTTTGTCGCATCTACGATTCAGATGGATTGAAATGAGCACGAAATAGTGTTACCACCCGTCCTGTTTTCACCTGGACAGTCTGGGAATTGACCCACTGTCTGGGTGAATCATTAATTTTGTCCGGAAATATTGTGCACAACCTGTCGACCCTTTTTTTTTTCCTTTTTTTTGGTTGCACAATTCATATTCATACACATCTCCAATATCCAATAGAGCTAAGTCATCTAGGTTACTTACGTTACTCCTACCCAAATCTCCCTAGTCCCTAACTGTAACTGATTTAGAACTGGCATGAATTGCACGTTATTCTTCACGTAGCAAAATGACATTACGCATGCGTCAGGAACTTCTGTTTGAACAAACCTCACCTGCTGTCCGGGTCAGCAATTTTAAAAAGGTAGCACACTAGCACGGAATTTTTCATTGCTTATTCTGTGACAAAACAGAATTTTAGTCTTTTAAATTGAGATACCTAAATAAGGAGGCAGCAAAATTTTCCTTTGCCCTGGGAGGCTGACACCCACGCTATGCCACTGTATAAATCTATACTGACATTATGAGATTAAAATTTTGGAAATTTGAAAAAGAGAAGGTAATGAAAAAAAATAAAATTATACGTGTCTCATCTATCCATATGGAACTGTAAGGATCATAAGGATAGATGAGACAGAGCAACAACTGTCTCAGGCACCAAAATTATTCAGAATGGTAAACTACTAAGTTTTTAAGTTACTTGAAAAATTCACAGCCTAAAAACTACTTCAATGGCAAATTTTGACATTTTTTTTTTCTAAAAAGTTATCCATTAACAATTATGATAGAAAGTGCAATTTACCAATACAGACACTTTCCAAACTTTTCCAGCACTATTTTAATTCTCCAACAAATGTTCTCAGTTCAGTTGTTGAAGAATTGAAACAGTTCTGGAAAAGTGTGGAAGATGTTTGTATTGTTCAGTTTAACTCTGTTCTGGCTTTAGTGCTGTTAGAATGTGCAATTTTTTAGTTATTGCATATGTGCAGTGCCATAACTAGGAAGGTGCAACAGGTACATGAGCACAGTGTCTGGAACACAGTGTCTGGAACCTCAAAATGGAACTGACAAAATATTGTCAAATATACTATAATAATATTTTTGTTTACAAATTCTGTAAACTCTTGATTTAAGACAAAAAATTTCTATCTTATAGGAAAAATTTAAAAACTTTTTTATTCATGAGTAGAGCATACTAAATGGTTGGAACAATGGGCATAAATTACTAAATGTATATTATCATAATAACATTTTAACATATCTTGCACATTTTAAGTTCATTATTGATACATTTTTAAAACAGATTAGATTTAATGGACTTTTGGCAATAGCAGACACTCCTTTCCCCCAATTATTCATTAAGTTGAGGGCTTTATTGTTTATGTGAATGATCTTGTATATTTCTTGTATTGCTAAACGTGTTTCTTATTGTTTATGTTATATATATATATATATAAACAATTGTCTTATCATTATTTAATGAAACATGTGTAGTAAGTTAGTTTTTTGTTTTTGGAAGCCAAACTAAACAAGATATATTCTTTCTTTAATATAGGGATATGCATTTTGAGCATTTTTTGCACTTCAGTCTCTAATTTTACTGATGTAGTAAATTTTAAATTTATTTTACAACTTTATGAAGTAAAATTATATTCCTCTTATTTACAATTTCTTGCAATAATAAGGACATAACTTAAGATACATAAATACTAAAAATATCAAAAATATAGCATTTAATGTGAAAATTTATTCTCTCAGAAGAATTTTTTGCATTTAGACATATACAGTACATCCACAATTATTCTTACATGATATATGACTTATAAAAACTGAACACTGTTAAAGTCAAACAATTGCCAGACTAAATCAGGCCTCATTACCACTATAATTATATTAAAGCCAAATAATTTAATTCAGCAATTGTTTGGCTTTAATATAATTATCAGGCTTTGAGATGGCTATATATGAGACCTTTTTTGAAAAATAACATATATCAAAATTGGAAAAAATGGGCTTTTCATTGCATCAAACAACTCTAATGGTGGGTGACTTGCCCATGAAATATGCAACAACAGCAAATGCCAACAAAGATATTCTATGTGAAAGGTTTTGAGGTTTTACAAAAACAACACATGTCAGCAGGTAATATCAAGATTTATTCTCAAAAACAGTAAATGTCAAAGACATCTGCTGTTTTTATGGAAAAAGATTTGACTTAAAAGATGGCCAACTACATTGAAAGGTATTCTGGATTGCAGTAAACTCAACATCATTTGAAGATGTCAGATATTGGTGGGTGTTTGCAGCCAAGAAAGAGGAAAGAAGACATTATTTGAGAGGCTAAGGTTTGTGGAATTAGCCACACAAACCACAAAAGGAAATAAATAGGAAAGTGTGTCATGACTCCCAATTGCAGGTGTGTAAGCATCACCCACTTATTGAGTAAACATTGAATCTCAAATCAGTAAGGATTATAAGTCACTGAAGACGAAGAGGCTATTCACATTCGTGACACATATTCTGGGCCATACAAAAATATTTTGATTAGAAGTTCCACAAAGTGGATCAATGAGTTAACACTGCCATAAACCTACAAAGATCCAATACCTATACAGGTCAAGAAACTTGTGGACTGCCTGAAGCCACAGCTTTCCTACAGAAGGCAGAAAGTAAGAAGTTCTATGAAAGTCTGTCAAGTGTTGTAGGTGATAAACAGTATGGGGATATTGAAGAGGACAACAACAGCAGTGGCCATGAGGACTCAGAAATGACACGTGCAAACTTTTCATGCAAAAAAAAAAAAAATGTGAGAATAAAGTTTCTGGGAAGAGCATGACTGTTCTTCCCAAAAAGTTTATTCCCACAGTTATTATGTCAGTTATCAAAAATTTTATTTTTCTTGGATCCTGTCAAAGAATATTTTGGCAGTATACTAAAACCTTCAGAATATCTCACTGTTTTGGCAAATGGGAGAAAAAGATGTATACCTGTACTGCAATTTAATAGAAATAGTTTTTTTCAATTTTCTCAACAGTATGTATTTTGTTTGACATATGCTGTTTTTGCAAATAAAAGAACTCATATGTTATAGAACACTGTTCTGTTAATGGATTATGTTAATGATATAATATTGTTGTTCAATTTATCTATTATTAATTATAATTTAATTTCAGNTAAAGAATATGTAAGGAATTATACTTTTCAAAATTTTTAAAAATTGGTTTTAAATTTTAATTTTGGTTTCTTTGGAGATACATGAAAGTGTTTAAGATTTGCATTATGTTTTTATTATCTGGAATTCTATCATTTTACTATCCCAGCTCTGTTATATATATAACAGAGGGAAAGTATGGCAGTTGGTCAGAAATTTTCTTTCAAGATTTTTACATTTCTGCACTCAGTAGGACCTTGAAATGTCAAGAAATGTAAAAAATTTGGGTTTTTTTTCTGCATATATGGATATTAATGTGTTTATGGGGAGGCATGATTTTGTTCACCCTCTTTGAAGCTTAATAACATCCGTGCTTTTTGTCAAAAATTTCTGAAATTTTGCAGGGAGGTTTGTATGTTAGGAGCTTGATGCTATTAAATTTTGTTGGTTAAAGGTCGAGGAGATGGGGAGATAAAGGGGGGTCGTGTGTCATATCTCGAACAGGGTTGGACTTAATTATGATTATACATGTTACTAGCATTTAAAATTTTTTTATAAAACTCATCTCTAACCTCAAAATTAAGATTTTTGCTATTTTAGAATAATTAAAAATATAAATTGCTTAATTTAATAAAATATCATAATAGATGGCACCACATGCGGTTTTCAATGTTGTTGCCAGGAAAGTTAAGCAACTTGTTGCTGGATTTTTTTAGTTTGTATGGTTTGCTATGTTATCATTAATTTAACTTTAATTCTACATTACAAGAAAAACATTCAAGTGTAGTAAATTATCTAATAATTCCGACAGGACTGATTTCAAAAATTTATCGAATAAATGAGCATTTATTTATTGTAACATTGTTACAATGCCAGGCTGTAACTTATAATCATTTTTTTAATTTATTTAATTTGAAATATATGCTCTCCACTCAAATTAGTAGTGTCTTGTCCCTGTACATCATACTTTTCCTGTTAGCAACAGAGTCCTGCCATCATCTATCTAACTTCTTACAGGAAAATTTTGAATTGAAATAATGAGACTTCCAGTTTGCATTTAAAGTTCATATACTGTTAATTGGAGCCTCCCACCTCTAATCTTATCTGGTCAGTTTCATCTATCTAACTCAATTTTTGAGATTAATTAAGGAAAGATGGATAGACAACAGTGGGAATTTATAGGTCTACATTTTTTCAAATTGCAGCCCAATGATTCAGTATTAAGAAAAATAAAACATTTGTAGTTATGTGAGATCCGAAAGGCCCCTAGGCCTCATTTAATAATTTTTATTAAATATGCTTAAATATTCACACAAAATAATACTTCGTTTTTGGTGAAAAATTGGTGTTTTAGTCGTGGGAAAAGATAGATAACAGATGCTACTTCCGTTGAAGGAAGTCCGTACATCCTCTGTTTTTACCTATCCGTTAAAAATCTCGCTCAAATGGGAAATGGCTACCCCTCATTCGTCCCCCTTTTCGTCGGTTCTCACGAAGAGCTACTGGACGATGATTGGACAAAAATTTGGAAATAAAAGGAGAGATTTAGTCAGAATTCGGGGAGTTCTTCGACAGATCCGAAGCATACAAACTCCACATACGTTCCCTCCCGATGGCCAACGCCCATAACGGAGTCCGATAGACTAAGTCCCGAGATAGGAAATGCAACCCCTGAGTTTAAACTAAGAGGAAATAAATTTAGCGTTACGTGTAGAATAGTGAGAGATACATATCCATGTGACGGAACCATAGGAAAGGATATACTAGAGAGAGAAAATATCAAAATAGACCATAAAGGAACTAGATTAATTATGCCTGATGGCAAAAGCATTCATTTTTGTACAGCCATACCTGTGACATACTATAAGCGAGAACCTAAGAGATACAAGTATAATACGAATCACGGGGGGAAATACTATAGAGAGAACTATATAAGAAGCATACAAGCATATTCCGAGAGGAAACACTATTCGAAAAATACTTATGTTAAANGATTAGAAGTTCCACAAAGTGGATCAATGAGTTAACACTGCCATAAACCTACAAAGATCCAATACCTATACAGGTCAAGAAACTTGTGGACTGCCTGAAGCCACAGCTTTCCTACAGAAGGCAGAAAGTAAGAAGTTCTATGAAAGTCTGTCAAGTGTTGTAGGTGATAAACAGTATGGGGATATTGAAGAGGACAACAACAGCAGTGGCCATGAGGACTCAGAAATGACACGTGCAAACTTTTCATGCAAAAAAAAAAAAAATGTGAGAATAAAGTTTCTGGGAAGAGCATGACTGTTCTTCCCAAAAAGTTTATTCCCACAGTTATTATGTCAGTTATCAAAAATTTTATTTTTCTTGGATCCTGTCAAAGAATATTTTGGCAGTATACTAAAACCTTCAGAATATCTCACTGTTTTGGCAAATGGGAGAAAAAGATGTATACCTGTACTGCAATTTAATAGAAATAGTTTTTTTCAATTTTCTCAACAGTATGTATTTTGTTTGACATATGCTGTTTTTGCAAATAAAAGAACTCATATGTTATAGAACACTGTTCTGTTAATGGATTATGTTAATGATATAATATTGTTGTTCAATTTATCTATTATTAATTATAATTTAATTTCAGGTTTTGAAGCATTTTGAAGAAAAATACAATATTAAACCAATCAAAGTAAATATAAGAAAGATGAAATTGTCCTTTGCAATTTGGAGTCAAAATATGGCAAGTATTCCAGCTCCATCTTTTGCTTCAATTATGGTACAGAAGAAAGGAGAAGTCAATCTAATTTTAGAATTATTAAAATGGTGTATAGGAATGTCTGATTTTACTTTACCATGCATATTGTTTGCTATATTTGAAAAACGAAATCGCAACAAAGTTAAAAAAGAAAATAAATTTATTCGTATGGCAAATGAATTAAAAAAAGAATTCGAAAGCATTCTTGCTGATGACGGAATATTTTTATATCCTTCTCAACCTGAAACTGCAATATTTCACAACCAATCAATATTTAAATTTCATAATCCTAGTTATACAGCTATTTTTAATATTCTGGGATTGCCAGTAACCCAATGCCCTTTGGGTTTAAGCTCTGAAGGTTTGCCTTTAGGCATACAAGTTGTCGGAGGTCTCAATAAAGATCATTTAACAATATCCGTTGCCATGGAATTAGAGAAAGCTTTCGGAGGTTGGAAAAATCCAAATTTGCAATAAAGGATTAAGGTTAAATTGAAGATGACCAAATCAGTAATGCTATTTACTGGATGATGACATAAAAGTAATATAAAAGTTGTTTTCACATTTTACACGTATAAAATAGCAGTTTAAAAATTGTTACCAACTTATGTCTTTTATTATTTAATAAATGTAAATTAATATTTAAATTAAGGAAATAAATGAAAATGCAATATATAACATGCCTTACTTTTTTCCTCAAAAATCGCCCTACACCTAATTGACAGTCAGCGTTGGGCTAGAGAATTGTAGTTTCTAGCATATGATGAAAAAGTTAAATACTTCATTTTGTATAGTGATAGGATTGCAACTTTCAGGATAAGCAATTCCAAACACAGTGTGTAAAAATACCAACTTGAAAAAAGTTGAACCAAAAGAAAATGTACAAACAAACTTGGAGACATTTTTGGTCAACAATTTTCAAAAATTGTAAGCCTGAAGTTTGTTTTTGTGTCTGAATGCCTTTCCTTAACCTGAAGAAAGGAATTAGATGGAAGTTGGGATCAGATATGGAATGATTATATAGTGATTATATTATCGTATATAGTTAGTTACTCGGGGCCTCCTTCCCCGAGTAACTAACTATATACGAACTTCTGGTTTGCACCATAAATCATGCTGTTTCAATTAAAAATTTCCTCTAAATGGAATTAGTTAGATGATGACCTGACACTATTGCTAACAGGAAAAATATGATGAAGGCAGGACACTACTAAAATTGAGAACGTTGTGATGAAATATTGCAGCCTGGTATTGTGACATCTTCACAATAAATCTTTTGTTGTCATTTTCCTTTCGATGATTACGATTATGATAAGATAGCCGGATTGCTGTGGCACATAAGGTGTCAGCTTACTGCTCTAAGGTACCAAGTGAGAAATCCCAGAAAGATTCATTCCGAATATACAGTATCAGACCCTGTCTCTCACCATTCAATTACCTTCATTGTGAGAATGGCTGAACTCACGATAGGTATGATTACCAGTACAATTACTTGCCCAAAGGGTACAAAGATAGTAAAATTGGGAAAAGCGCAAATTCGCAGGAATGAAAATAATTTCGATTATAAATAGTGGTGCCATCTTCTCTGTGGAAAAGAGAGGAGGGAAAACCAACTCTTCGTTCATTTTTCAGAATATTTCCGAACAATTTTTTAAAAAATAATTTAAATTTGGAAAACCTCGCAACCTCTATATAGTCCTTAGACTCTGGACGCAAAATTTATGCATTTAGCGAGAAAATTTTGAATGGTCTCCGTGCACACTTATGGCCGGACTGGCGAACGTCAAACACTGCACACTGCAAAGATAGCCAAATCCCGTGATTTTACATGATCTTGGATCCATGTGATGTCGTAACGACACCTATACTGTACTTCAACATGACAGATGCTTTCAAATAAAATACGAAAAAATACTAAAATCATTTATTAATTAATTACTAAATTACTACTAATTGTAAATTACTATAGAATTTTCGGATTTAATAAGTGTACATAAATAAATTTAAAAGTTTTTTGTCCAGTATTTAATAAATTAACAAGCTATATTTTTTATTGTGGTTAACTTAATTTTTTTCGACAATCGCCATTTTCAGAAGGCATTCTTTTCAAAATTTTATATTTTTCTTGTTTAAAAGATTTCTATAATTAATTCTTATTGTAGTTCTTAATTTACAAAAATCTTTTATTAAAGAAAAAAGTAAAACTGACAAATTCTGTACAACTCCAGAGTCTCTTTTATATGATTGTTGTATGTTGGAGGAAAAGAAAACTTGATAATTTAGCGTAAAGATCAAAATGAACCAATTAACATTATTCTACCTTTCTATGAATACTATGAAAAATTGTTATAAATTCAGAAAACTTTGACCATGGAAGCCGGGATAAAATGATTACGCTCTTAAAAAATAAGCATTCAATTTCAAAGCCGGTGAATGAAATACCTTATTTGTTTCTCTGGTACAGAGTTTGCTTGAAGATCGCAACTTCCTAAAGGTCTTGTTAATCTACCGATTGTCTCAAAAGATTTTGATGTAAGAGGCCAAGTTGATTTGATTGACCTGAAGTCATTCGCTAGAGGACATTTCAAATGGCTTTTGAATTATCAAGATAATGCTACTAAGTTTGTTTATTTAAGGCTCTAAAAGAACAATAGGGGCAGCCTTAGAATTCAAAATATTTCTTGAATTTGGAGCTCCACGCATCCTTCAAAGTAACAATGGTCGTGAATTTCTGTCAAATATCATTCAGGAATTGATAACGCTGGGACCAGAATGCGTATGTCTGGCCTCCACGTCATCCACAGACTCAAGGGAGTATAGAAAGAAGCAACTAAGAAATTGAAAACATGCTTCGTAGTTGGATGCAGGAAAACACTTCAACAAAGTGGGGCATTGGCTGCTACTTCGTACAATGGCATAATAATTGCTTTCTACATCGGATTATCGGGAGATCACCGTACCGAGCTCTTTTTGGTTGCAATCCCAAAATTGGACTCAATAACACAGGACTTCAAAAGGCAGTTCTTGAAAAAATAACTTGAAGAACAATTAGAGTGTATCTTCAATACTGAAAATGATACTATTAAAACAGGACAAGGGTTTGGGACTATAAGTACTGTACATTAGAAAACGTTTCACTACTTGACATAAGCGGACCCTTAGAGAATAGTGCAGCTGAAATGTTCTTCCAACCAGCAGATAATGAAAATGGACTCTAATAAAATAATTTTAATTATTATTTTATTTCTATATATATAATATATTTTAAATTAAATAAATTTAAAAAATGCCGGTCTGCAATATTTAATTAATTTAAAATATATGCTCTCGATATGGTATTGCCCTTGTACGGTACCATATATCTTACATAATATATTACAGTCGACCCCGTATAACGCGGTGGATACGTTCCACTTTATAAGAATTTTGCGTTGTAGGAATCCTTAAATGAGCCAATCACAGCCCGGCACGTGTGCAGTTTACGGACTACGGCTGTTTGAAAGGTTTTCTTCCATAAAATTAATCGATTCTAGACTAATTTGACTCAACATTTCCAAAACACGTATAATTTTTTGGGAATAATCCGTATAAACTATGCTATAAACAAAAAATTGTAGGACTACTTACCGAGTGTGCACCGTTCGACGATGCCATTGCTTAAGCTTGTTTTAGTCACGGAGCAGCGCACCAAACGGCGGGCGCGTTTTCTGATAAGTTATTTTTCTGCGAAAAATTCGTTGAACTTGATAATTTTCCAATCCCTCTTCGGGCTCACGGCTTCGGTGTCTAAAGTTGTTGTCTACAACATAACGAACAAAAGGTTAGTTCGTCTTATAGTTTTCTTATCCAGAATGATGGATATAATGCACTATTTATACACATCCTAATGGTGTAGTTTCTACTAGCACTTACTGGCATGTTTTCTTTGTCTATTTTTGATGGGTAAATGCAACGCTTCTTCCATTTCCCACAATTATTAACTCCCTATTACCTCTTAGAAGGATTTTAACTTCAATATTGTGGTTTATAATATGACACAATGAAAAACTATATTTTTACATTTAAGTCGAAACCAAAGTTTTCACAAACTATCTACTGTATAATTACAAGCAATGATTTATTGTTACATCGTCACGATTCCGGGCTGCAATTTTTAATCATATTTTTAAATTATTTAATTTAAAATATGTGCTTTCAGCCTCAAATTAGTAGTGGCTTGCCCCTGTACGTTATACCCATGAGTGTCGGTTCTTTAAAAGTTGAGGTATGGAATTTTGTGAAAGCAGGACCCTGCTTTCACAAAATGGTGATGCATGCTTAGAGTTACAAAAATTTTGATACTTTGGATTATGTAAGAGTTCGATTGGTCAACATCCAAGGAAAAAGTTTGTTTTCATACAGAGAGCAAGTGCCTTGGCTTGCCTTATAAATTATAAATAATGTTTTCAATATTCTGAGGTATGGAATTCCATACCTGCAAAAATGTGAGATATGGAGTCTTCCTTACCTTCCATAGTGGAAACGACATCCCTGATTATACTCTCTTTAACAATAGAGTCGTCCGGTCATCTATTAATACTTTCGGAGAGAAATTTTGAATTAAAAAAACGGTGACTTCCGATGTGTATCGGAAGTTCATATATTGTTAATTGAGGCCTCTTGTCCCTAAGGTTTCGATAACTGGTCTCGGATTTCATCTAACTCCGTTCTCGAGATTAAAACAGACGGACGGACGACAGTGGGAATTTATGGGTGTACAATTTTTTCAAATTTGTAGCAAATTGCAGTTCCGTCAGGTCACGGGTCGACGCGAACTAACGGATTGGAATGTTTAAATTAAATCCAGCTTTGAAGTGCATCACATTCCTGCTCCAAATTATGTATCATACTGGAAGTAAGTTTTATTTGTGACATAGATACAACTCTCTCCATTATTGCACAAATCTGAAGCTGTTTTTCAATGTACAACGTTTTCTGAAAGTTTGTGAAGTTTGTCTATGAAAGAAACTTCAAAAACTTCTTTATTGGAAGAAACCTCAGTCTGATGGATGTCTACTTTTTCTTCTTTCATAGCATGTTCATATCGTTCTTGTCTTGCTCTCTTTGATCTGTTTCTTTCTCTCGTGTTTATTGTTGGAGCCAATCTGGAGATTCTAAATTATACAGCCTTGCAGGTTTTCTTTTAAATAAAGAATTATTTTAGAATAAGTTATGCTCACATATAGCCTACATTTACTATTGTGTTTAAAGTAGAGAAAATTGGGAAGCAGTGAGACAACAAAATTTATAACATGAAAGTTACTTTACAAGGCAGGATTTCTATCAATTGCCCCTGTAATTCGTTCTGATATCTTCTTTCATGCCATAACAGTCTGAGAAAATGTAAATGTATATTTTCTTCATAAACATTACTGTTCTATTTAACTAAATTTTTTCCTTCTGTAATTTGGCTTTATAACATTAAGTCCAGGTATGAAAGAGATATTAAGGTAAAGGGTTTATCTTTTCATTGCATCTTTTACTTCAGTTTGTTTAAATATTAATTAAGTAAAATCCTGTTTTATTTGTAATTTTTAGATTAAAAGTTAATTGTGAGATCCGACCTCAGAGTAAGACCAAAATTGTTCATTTTCTCCCCAAATTTTCGACGTATATGAAATAAATTTGTCGCCTTCTCGTTAAAATAACATTGCCAGAAAAAAAGAATCAAATATCGATAGAAACTTATAACTTTCATCGTTAATATAAACATTCAACCCTCGAACAATGACATTCCTCTGCTACAAGACAAAAAGTTTATAGTTAAAGTCCGAATTCGTCATTTTGTTTTGGTCCCGGGAACAGCTTTAACCCCACACCTGCAGGACCAACTCTACCTCTCACAGTAGGTGATCACATGACTAATTTCCCCAGCCCGAAGCTATAAAAGCGACTTCTTTTCCCCTCCTCGGGGGAGTCTACGGCTGGTCAAAAAGGATTAAGTCTCGGAAGATTTTAACTTTGCGTCGATCGGAAGAATAAGGGCATCAACCTAACGTCTACGTAAAAATATACTAGAGGTAGGGAACATAAAATGTAAACTCTCTCTCCGCGAGTTAGGAGCTAGCGAACTAAATTCATTTCTCCAGATGTTAGATTTTGTATTTGTTATTTTTTTCGTTAATCTAATAAATCGTTGTTTCCATTGTTAAATGGTGTCATTTACTCGCATATCGCCTACGCCTCGTCGACGACCCCTCTCACCTCCTCCACTCGACCTGACAAAAAGAATCCCGACCTTTCGGGACCATTCGAAATTTAGCCATCTTGACAAGTGAGCAGGTTTAACGACCTGAAGCCGAAAAGGGAGAGTCGACGGTTTCCGACCTCCCCGGCGGTTCACATAATTGTGTGTGTCAACCTATCCATTTTGTAGGAAACAAAGGATTTATGTCTGTATATGTGAGCGGAGTCGTGTGTCGTCACTTGCATCTCCTCTATTCGGGCCAGTTTCCCACAAATGACTTTTCGGGAGGCATTTCCTCCTTGGCAGATCGCCATGCTGCGTTGTCGTATACAAATAAACCAAACCTGTCCTAGGTTATTGTCATTAGAGGCGAGTGTCACTATTTAATTATGTTATTCGTTAAATTAACCAAACTTTATTCCAACCTTGAATCTAAATGAACCATATATGACACTACAGTATTATATAAATAAACTAGCAGATGTGCCCGGCAAAAAAAAAAACAGCAAAATAACAACAGCAAAGATTAAGATTATTAGGTTATTTCGTACTTCTCACCTTTCTATTATATTATACTGTTTGATTTATATTTACAAAGGTTATCTTACGTAAGGGTTTATCACATCAAGTGACCAATCTAACACATTGTTTAAATTCTGCAAATCGTGTACATTAGAGGAATACAGAATTTTAAAAATGTGTTAAGACTGGTTGCTCGGTATGATAAACCCTTATGTAAGTTGATCTTTTTAGTTATATAAATCAAATACTATAATATAACGAACATTAGAACGAAAACCATATAGTTAGGTTATTTTAGCCTACCATTGTCATGCTTATGGCAATACTCGGATGATACGAAATAGCACAATTTCATTGGTCAAATAGACACCAATTGATTTTAAATTGAAATTTTTTAAGACATATTTTTCCTAATGTTAACTCTAAGAAACTGCGTCATTCATAACAAATATCAATTGATAATCTGCTAACCAATCAAATTTAGCGAAAAACGGACCAAATATTTAAAGTCGGCACCCTCGAAAAACCACTTAAAAACATTTTGTGCTGGCCGGTAACTTTGTATTATGTAATTTTATTATTTGAACTCCACTAAACCTGTGAGTCCGATAGGAATAAAGGAGTGTCGCGGAAGGGTGTTGAAATAATTTGGTCAAAAGTAGTAGCTGACCTCTTCCTGGAAGAGAAGACGGTCTACGATTACTAATTAATACTGGTCTATATTAAAATTTAGAAAGTGGTCCGTGTTGGATAGGTTGTGAAGGCCTCGTGTGTGATGAAAGTCACTAACCTTAACGTCGGAAAGGTTTAATATAAAACTTGTTTAAATAAAAACAATATTGTAACAATGCCAAAATAATTGTTTTGATATAATAAGTGTTTACATTTTTGCAACAAATTGTATAAACTACGTGGGAAGTATATCCTCGTAAATATCACGTTTATAGAAAAATTATTGGGTTGCAATTTTAAAAAATTGCAGATCTATAAATTTTCACTGTCCTCACTATGTCTGTCATTCCTTAATCTCGAGAATGGAGTTAGATAAATGAAAATCGAGATCAGATATGGAAAGTTTACGGACAGTAGCTTCGATTAACGATATACGAACTTCCAGTTTGGACCGGTTACTACGATTCAAAATTTTTCCCTGAACGAAGTTAGATAGATACTGGATAGAATTCTATTGCTAACGGGAAAAGTATGATGTACAGGAGCAAGACACCATTAAAAGAATTGAGAACATTGTGACGAAAAATTGCAGTCTGGCGTTGCGATAAATAATTGCTCGTTAAAATTAGTTTGGTTTATTTGGTGACACGTGAGCGATCTGCCGAGGGGATGCATCCCGGAAAGACTTTTATGGGAAGCTGGACCCTATTTAGATGTTACTAACGTGAAAAAAAAACCCGGAAAACTCCACGTGGCCAGCCCGTTGGCCATGGCCGAATCCAAGACTAACTAACTACTACTAACTACCGGTGTTTGGTAGTTTTGTCCACTCGGTTACCGGAGGATGCTTATTAGAATTAAGAAAGTACCATTCAGAAATGAAAAAACGCGGACCGTAAAAGTCTAAGTATTTAATTTTCCACGTTTCAGACGTGAAAAATTAAATACTTAGACTTTTCACAGGGTAACACTTTCGATTCCACGCAGGCAAATTCTATATGCTACCTGTCGCAGTAATGAGATAGCGCTTCTATGCTTCTATTTTGCTCTATACCATTGTCGCAATAATTAAGTAAATGTAATATATATATTTATTTAAGATTATATCCTTTTTGTAAGAATTAAATTTATTATTTTCTTAAATTTTGCAAATAGATGGTTACGTGTAAAGCCAGCAAACGAATATAGATAGAAATTAATTGATTTATAAAAATCCAATCGATATTTTAGGGTGGGATGTACATGATCTAAGTTAAAAATATGTGAACGTAACTGGTTCGTAGCAATTGGTCGAACTGCCTAGCAGTTTATAGCAAACAAGCAAACATCCTCATTTATATATATACAGTAGAGCGTCGATTTTCCGAATCAATTGGGGACTGGGGTTGTTCGTATAACTGATATTTCGGATAACCGATTTATGTACGAAAAAATAGTTTAACGTATCCAATGTTGAAATTTTTCTCCGTTGCGTGTCGCTTCTAGTTGAATTTTCGTCGATGTTAAGCCTAACGAAGACTATTGTATCGTAAAAAATTATTTTTTTTATTTTGTACAAACAAAATAAATATATTGAAAAATATAAAAACAATAAAAAATTATACTTCAGATGTTAATTTAGTATCAAAAACGTAAAATATTTGAGTAGCCCAAGACATAGCCA